CCTGCCTACTACTTGCTCGTTTTAAAAAAAATAAAATAAAAATACAAAAATAAATGAAACCTTTAAGACCTACACAAATACACTTCATACTGTGTGAGCAGGGTAGGTTTTCACAAAAACAGTTTTATAAAACTATAAACTTCACATTTTAGTCTTTAAATCATATTCGTGAAGTTATGAATGAAAAAGCAACGTGAAGCATAGAGCTGTTTTTCTTTGCAGCGCCTTAGTGCGCCTGTCTGCTTTCATGTGTTACAGCTCTATGAACGAAATCTTTCGATCTGATCGACGGATTATGGTAAATTTGGGCTCTTTACGGGAAAATTTTCCAAAAATAATGCTGTGCGGTTTTTCAAGATCTATGTATGTTTGGTAAAGTTAAGAGCTAAAATGCCACAGAACTGCAACCTCTGAGTTTTTGCTAAGCTATATGACCTAATTCTTTTCTATGTGTTATAGCTCTATGAGAAATATCTTTAGATCTAAACGATGGATTATGGTGAGTTTGGCCTCTTTTTAATCGGGAGTTTTGAATCACACTTTCAGTAGCAATGTGGATTGATGTAATTGTCAGACGTGGTGCGCTACAAATTCAAATAAGAGAACCAATCAAAAGCATCAGAAGAGCATCGCTTTACTAATTGGCCTTCAAATGGCAGGAGGCATCGTGCACATCAAAAAACAGGCAAAGCAACAAATTAATATTATTCAACATATTCTAGCTTTTTACAGAAAATATTCAGATGTAACCACCTTTGTAATGTTGTCACATTTGTGTCTGTGATGATGGGGCTGCAAGGGTTGAATTTGATAGCACTTACTGTGTGTTTTATGGAAGGATATTCCGGACTATTTCAAAAGGAATTGCAAATTGCATTTTCATTTGTGTTTTCCATATGTTGACGCATAAATTGTGACATTATCCAAATGCAATTGCAAATCTTGCATTACCGTTTGCATTTTCGCTTTCACGAACGCACAGTGACTGCCAAATTAAAATTTTTGACAATGATTGAATTTCCGATGTCTACACGGAAAGCTGCCAAATGCAAAAGAAATTGCAATTCCATTTGAGCTTTGGCAGGTTACATGTGCGACGCAGAGAGAGAGTGAAAACGCAGACGTGGTAATTAATATTGCTATTTAAATATGACAGGCTCATAACTCTCTGGACTTTGCTTTTTCATTTGAAATGTGGCAGTCACTGTGCGTTCGCAAAAGCTTTTGGATAATGTCAATTTATGCATCCACATATGGAAAACGCAAATGAAAATGCAATTTACAATTCCTTTTGAAAATAGTCTGGAATATCCTTCCATAATATCTACAGAATGGAGAAGGGTTGGCAATTCACAAAGCATAAAATATCAATTTCAATTTTCGTTTTTGTGTTTTAGAGGAAAAATCATACGGACGTGAAATGCGTATAAAATGCTTTAAAAACTTTAACAGAGATAGAGGGTATTTAA